TCGTGCGCTCGAGGAGGCAGACCAGCAGCATGCAACTCAAGCTGATGATATACAGGTCTGAAAGTCCAAAAGATATCGCAAAGCACTGCTCTCTGCACCCTGAGAAAGGCTGGTAGCCTTCCTTCCCAGGGCTCAGCTCCACAACCACTCCCCAAGCACTGCCAACGCAGGGTTCCCCCAGCCCACAAAGCTGCCAAACCAGCGCTCTGCTACAGCCCCAGGTGCCAGCAGGCAGCCTCGGCTCTGCCATGGGCTCTGGGTGCTGGGTTTCTGCTCTGCCACAGCCCCTGCAGACCCCATTTCTAAGCCCAATGGCACCTCAGCTGCGGTGCATGGTTCTGGCTGTCCTACGGCAAAGCAGCTACAGCACCCGCTGCTGATGCTGCGCATGGTCCTGCTTCACCAGTGTTGGTATTATGAAACCAGGAGAGGAAGAGACTGATGATGGGGAGCAGAGGAGCTAGCTGGGTGGTGGAGATGACAATAGGAGTCCACAGAGGGACACATCTGCTGGAAGCTTTTTACTAAAATGTTTAGCGGTAGAGCAGTTCCCCAAACATATTTTTAGCAGCCATCATTAGGCTGCAGAACTTTTTGAGCTGCTGCATGTAAGCCCCTCAGCTCCAAGCTGCCATTTCAGCTGGTTGCAGGTTCAGGAGGACAACATCCCATCAGCTGTTGTCAGTCCACGCTCTCCAGCTTTTCTCCTCACACCTGGCAAGGAGGAGTGAAATGGTTCCTCCAAGATGAAAACTTCAGCTCTCAGGGCAGGACGCCACAGCAAGGACTGGTTTCCATGAGAGGTCCATCGCTGGAGGTCCCTCCCAGGAACCGGGCTCAATCATTGACCTCAGAGTGATACAGGGGAGAGTGCTGAGGCCTTGGGGGATATTCAAGGATACACAATAAATTTGACCGTCACCGCCTGGACAGGGCCTGGCACTCTGAAACACCATTTAGAGGAGCTGTCTTCCTCCTTCCAATACCTGGAAAGGGACCAGCTGAGGGAGAAGGCCAAACAAATGTAACTGTGGCTCATGACAGGACAGAGGATGGTGAGCGGGAGAGCCTTACCCAGCATCTGTGAGGTGGAGCTCCGTAGCGCTTGCTCCCCAATCTTCTCGATCGCCTTAAAATAGACTTCAGCTGCTTTGGATAATGCTGTAAGGAGAGAAGAGGGGAGGTAAGGATCTGGCCTGCCTTCCCACCATCACCAGCCTCAGCAAGCAACGCATAGGACAGCCACCCCCTGGTACCTCACTTACAGGCAAGGACACCCCATCTCTCTCCATCTGTGCCTAATAACAGCAGAGGAGTGCTTAAGAGCAGCTCAGGACATGTCAGAGTGGGGAGACCAGCAACCTTTCCTGGGTGACGGCACAGCAGACACCCAGGACGGATGCAGCAGCACGGTCTGGAGCCCTGGCTATACGGGACCCCACTCACCATGGAAGGCACGCAGGTAGTTGTTCCCCAGGTACACCAGGTTCTCCAGCGCAGGGTTGAACTGCTCCAGGATACTCTGTGGCCAGGCAGAAGCACGTTAACACCAGTCTTCCCCATGTCCCAGAGACCTCAGCAGGTCGATGCCCTCCTGCTGCGTGTTGGAGGGACCCAAAATGCTCCCGCAGCCATGAGGCTGGATGGCCGTGGGGATGTACAGCCATGCACAAAGTCAGCTCCCTGCATCGGAGGTAGCTGGCACCTTCGGCTGCCCCAAGCCCTCTCCAGGCAGCCAGGAGAGAAGTGATGCCAGAGGGCAAGGTAGCCCACTGCAGAGCCAAGTGGTCACCTGAAGATGGCTTTCTCCCAAGGCCCCACACCCACTGCAGACAGGGGATAACTGCAAGGGGATCTGAGCAGCCTTTTCCCTCACCCCCGAGCTGGCCAAGGTGATGGCCACCGCTTATTATCCAGGCATAAACACAACTTTTTCCTGGCCAGGATGGGGTGCACTGCCAGACTTGGCAGCTTAGTAAGAGAAGGGACGGACTCCTTCAGACCAGCCTCTCTGCTCTATTTATCAAAGGTGTTTATTGCCTACAGCAGAGAAGAACAGAGGCTGGAATAAGCAATTCCCCCTTCTCCCAACTCTCATCACCTTGGTGCAGCACCGATGTGCATAGGGAAGCGTTTCTGACATCAGACTGCTCTTTCCAGCACGGGGAAAAACAGCCGACTGAACTCCTCCTTCCTACCAGCAACCAAGGTGTCTCACCCTCATGCCCCGTGTCCAAATCACCCTGGTTGCCCAATTCCTTCCCGGATCTGCCTTAAGACCCATGTCACCCTCCCCTCCTGCCAGCCGTCTGCCCTCCAACACAGCTCAGAGCCCACAGGAGCTGCTGCAGCTCAGCCTGGGGATGGCTCCAGCCCTCGGCTGTCCACCCAAGGGAGCCTTTGGCAGAAAACAGCTCTTCTCCTTCCCTCTGCACATCTCCCCCAGGCAGACAGGAGCAGCCTTCGGTGCTGGCACTCACCTTATAGATGGAGATGGTGGATCTGTAGGATGGGTCCATCTCTGGAGCCTTTTCCCTCTCCCACAGAGAAGCAAGGAGCAAAGGAAAGCACAAAGTGCTATACCTGCCCGAAGAACTCCGCTTCTGCACAGCCGGCTGGATAGAAATAGCCCGTTGCTGGCAAGGAAGGACAGCAGGAAGACACAGACGTGGTACAAAGGGAACAGAGCACTGCTGGAGTTTAATAATTCACCAGCCGAGAGGCTGGAACTTGATCTCTGGAAGTAACCGGACTCTGGGGAGAGAGGAATCCTGCGACAGCCAGCAAGGGCATGTGACCACCTCCTTACATTATTGATTGCCGGCTCGGTAACCGGCTCTCCCTGCCCTGACCCCCGCGGCGCCAG